CTGGTCACTAATTGCAATCTTATCTTCTATATCTGAAATTCTGTCCTCACATTGGCTCATTCTGCTGTGTAGACTTTCAATGGAGTTTTTTTTTTGTACCGGGGATCAAACTTGGGACCTTGCGCTTGCCAGGCAGGCGGCAGAACCATTGAGCTAAATCCCCAACCCCTCAATGGAGTTTTTAATCTCCTGGAAATCTGTTTGCATGTTTTATGGATTCCATTTGTTTCCTGTGTTGGGATTCCATCATGTTCCTCAGCTCTTCTATGTTTTTATCTGTGTCCTCTCTAGATTTATTAATCATGTCTTGTACTATGGGCACAGTCTGCTATTATCAGAGAAATTATTTCTGATTTCATTTTTTCCAGATCCTCTTTTGTTGCCCCGTGCAGGGAGTCCAGGTGGTTGAGTATCAGTGTTCCATCTCATTTCACTTTGGGGTTGCTGTGGGTGACCTGGAAGTCTGGTTTTGAGACTTGTTTATGTGTCTTCTCATTTCGATGGGGAGGGTGCTGTTGTTGGCCGTGCGGCTCACCTCCTCTGGGCTGGGAGCAGTGCAACAGTGGCCTGGGAGCCCCTTCCTTTGAGCTGGGAGTAGTAGAATGGGGGCCCAGAAGCCCCTACCTCTGGGCTGGGAGCAGTGGAACGGTGGCCGATTATCTCACTTTGGCATCAAAAAATTGAATCAAGCATTGCTAAACTGCAGCTAGAAAGAGATCACCCCTCAAAAGTTCCTGATCAACTTCTGAAAGCCGTATTTAGTGAGCCTTAGAATATTTGGTGCTCTGACATTTGAAACAAGATGTGAGTGTGCAGTACTGACTGTCCCTTGAATTTGAGAGTCTTTGCCAAATTTCCTCTCTATGCATTTATCTTCAGCTGTTGGCCTAACTTTTCTTTAGTTTTCCTTTGATGCTTACATTAATGTATAATGATATGTTAAGCGAGCACCAAACTATATGCAGAATAATTAATTGAGAGGTACTTTATCTGTCGTTATGGTTTAGATCTAACACCCCAGCCCAGCCCCCACCATCTCCCATGTCCAGACATGGGACTTTCAGAAGGTGCCTAGGTCACAGGTCTCTAACTTCATCAGAAGTCATCATTGATGAGTTCACAACTTGATGGAATTATTGAGAGGCAATGGGAACTTAGGAGATGGGGCCTAGTTGAAGGGAATGGGTTGTGGGGTCATGATTTTGGGAAATGTATCTGGTCCCTGGCCCCTTCCTGGCTGGGTCTTTCTCACCTGGTGCTTCCTGGCTGCCTCTTCTCACCCTCACCCTTCCACCACGATGTTTCTGCCTCAGAGGCTGAATGCCTGGAGCCAGCCAGTCCTGGACTGAACCCTCCAATACCATAAGCCAAAATAAACCTTCCCTCCTCTAAGTTGATTTCCTCAGATGTGCTGGTCACAGTGATGCAAAGCCAAGTCACACACTCATGTTGCCTCTCATTTTCGGAACAGTTTTCTCATTTGGCACAAGGGGGCCTGAGCTCTGGGGCAGCCACTTGTCCACAGGTGGTCATTGAGATGTGAAGGCAGCTACCCAGCCCTGAGCAGGTGGCCTCTTGTACTCACAGAAATGTCTTCAAGGGAGAATTCTCTGCACCCCCAGGTAACTGAGGTTACCCCTCAGGGCAACATCCTGAGCTCCTGAAAGCTCATCAGGTGGTGTTGCTCAGCATTGGCCCCATGTACTGGACTATAAACTCCTCCAAGGCAGAAATAGGGGTTGTCTCTTCCTCTCTGCTAGCCACAGCTCACGCACGGCACCATAGTTAGCAACTAGTAGGCATCCAGTAAATGCTTATTGTGCAAACAAATGACACCCAAATCCTTAGATTTTTCTGC